AATGCTAGCGGAGGTTTTCCTGCTATTACAATTGCTCCTGGTATTAAGCTTGGGCAACTTCTTTATCTATTTAGTACTTCTTATATGACAGTTGAATACTTAAAACAAATGGCAGTTTTTGGTCAACTCATGCAAGGAGATATGGGTGTTGAAGAGTTCTCCACTCGAATCAAAAAGGTTGGTAAATTGGCTAGAATAACATCCGAACAACAAAGAAAGCAATTTATTCGTGGCTTAAATCCTATGAACCAATATAATATTTGAATGATGGCTAAATTTGAGGATAATCAGGAAAATATCACAAGAGCCTTAGCTGAAGTGGAAAAATTTACACTTTCTCAAAGAAATGCACCATCTTCTCTTCCTGCTTTTCCGGCAGCCAACCCCTACATAGATACTAACAAATCAGGAATAACAAAAACTAAAATCGTAGATTTGATAAAAATCGTAATGGTATCTTTAGAGTCTCAAATAGCTCAACAAAATGCTGATTTGTAGTCTACTATTAAATCCTTGCAAGAGACTATATCTCGAGCAACTAAAACTCTAAATAATAGTAAAAAATCATCTAAGAAGAGAGCAGAAGATACTGCTATTAATCACTTTTTGAGTGACTTACTAAGAAAAAATCTAGTTAAATACCTTGCCGATAAATATGATCATGATTCTATAGAAGATATTTCAGATAGTTTAGCAGGATTAACATTAAATAGTGTCATAAAAACTGCTGTTAGATATGCTGTTAAGAAATCATCAGGTTACAAATGCTCCACCTGTGGAAGATCTGGATATAATTTCCGAAACTGCCCTTGAAAGAAGAAAAAGTAAAAAGTCTAAAAAGGGTAAGGTTAATATCGCTACCGTAAATTCAAATTTGGATTCAGGTACTTCTTCTGATACTTCTAGTGATAGTTCTGACTCTGATACAAGTTCAAAGGATTTCTCTGAATCTGGAAGTGATATCACCGTTAACATAGCTAAGTTAAAAAAAAAGTGAAGCAAGACTCTAGTTTCAAGAAATCGTCTCTTAAAAAGATATCTAAAACTTTATTGGAAGAAACTATTCGTAAAGTCCTCCAAAGTGAACTTAAATTAATTTTTCCTAATCATTTCTCCCAAGACTCTATTAAAGCTAATATACCAAATCAAGCGCCTCTAATTCAGTAAAAGATAGAATCTCAAAGCAATACTTCTCCAATTACTAAGGTTGTATCATTAGAAAGAAGATTTGGATGGTCTGATGGAGATTGATTTCGTTAAGAAGAAGGAGCCAAAAACAAAGTATTGCTACTGTAAAGTGTAAAATCAAACATTTAAGATTCCTGCCATAACAGTCGACTCTGGAGCTGAACCTCCTATTATAACAGAAAATATCGTTGAACGTGTAGGAGCTAAAATTGATAAATCTGAAACACATGATCTTAGTGGTATTGCCACTGTTCCGGTTGAATCTGTTGGGGTTGTTCACAAATTATCTATTACTCTAGCCCCAGGCTGTACTATCTATAAAGATTTTATTGTTGTGAAATATCAGAAGCCAATATTAATATTTTCTAATCAGCTTTTGAAAAAATACAATTGCGCATTGGATTGGAAAACCAATGAGCTAAAAATTCCTCTTAATGGAAAAGATTATATTATCCTAGTCACTATGTATAAGGTTAAAAACAAGCTTGAGGTAAATTGTGCGAACATAACTCCGAATTGTGATGATATCTCGACTCAGGATAACATATCACAGGGCTCACAGGAGTTGAGTAGATATGATGATGTATTAAAAAAAACGTATGAGCTATGAGAAGCTTGAAAAAATATTGTATGATACTCTCATTTTCAAAGCTAAATTAATTGAGATTAATAAAAACCTCCAATCTCTTTTTCCCTGTTAACTAGATATTCTAGTTTAGCGAAGTGTATTTACATCAGATTGATCTTGTTAATCTTTTAATTTGATTTGTTAAAACGGTTCTATATATTGTTGTATCATTTAGAGATCGGTCTATTGCATCAGCCAACTTGGCTATTGTGGCTATATTATCATCAGAATTATACAAGTCTAGAGAATTTTCATCAGAATCAGATTCATTTTCGCCAAAATTCTATGCCTGTACATTTTGTAAAACCTCTTGTGTATTTCTAAGTTCTAATCTATCTTGATATCTTAATAATGCTAATGCAAAATTTTGACAAAGCAGGTCTGTAATACAGTTTTTTTGTTGGGTTATTTTGTTAATCCTATTTATTTGATTGGTCTTTATTGTATTTATTTCTCGTTTAAGCCGTTCATTCTCATCCACTAATCTGGTTGTATAATCTTGCGCTTTGGGATATTACCTGCAGATTTTGATATTTCTTGTATTCGGGTTTTTAATTTTGTCTCACGCTTATCAAATTCCGATATCAATTTATCTTTATTAAAAATTTCTTTGTCTTTCTTTTTATTTTCTTCCTCGAGCTGTCAGACAATTCTTTTTAATTTTGAATTTTTTTCTGTCAATTCCTCTTTGTCTTGTATAGATAACTCAATAGTATTGTTTAACTCTTCTTCAAGAAATCGTATTCTTTCTTCCCGTATACCAATAATTCTTTTCAAGATATATAAACATTTTTCAAAATTCCTATTTGATTCTGCTAATTGCGATACTACCTCGTGGAGTTCTTGATTGGTTTGTTGTAATTCCTCTATATTTTTTATTTACTATAATTAAATAAAGTAATAGAGAAACTGGTTATTTACATCAATCCAGATGAGGCCCAGAGAATTGAAAAAATCTCATATTGCATGATATATATTATCATCCATCTGAATATTATTCCAAGCCTAAATCCTTAAGAGATGCTTGTAAAAAAGAGGGGCATCAATTTTATCTAAGTGAATCCAAAGATTTTTTAGAAAATTAGGAATCATACCAAACCAATAAAACTTCTTCAAAATACATTTCTAGAATTAGCTATAGACGAATAATACACCCTAATTGCATTCACCAATATGATATACTATTTCTTACCCATGACCACTATAAAGGTAAAAAATATAAAGCAGTACTTAATATTATAGACTACGCTTCCAGATACAAGGCTTCAGTCTCTCTTAGATCAAAAAAAAGTTCTGAAGTTGCTAAAATATTTAGGAAAATATATGGTGATCGAAATAATCCTCTTACCTATTCTAAGCTACTTCAAACAGATAATAGAAGAGAATAGATAAGCGAGACTTCCCGATTGATGCAAGAGCATAATATCATAATCTGAGTGGTCAGTCTATATTCTCATCGAGGCCTTGCATTAGTAGAGTGTTTTAATCAGACACTCTCAAAAATTCTGTATAAGACTCAGTATACTATTGAATCAATAACTTCTGATTCTAAATTAATAAGAGTGTGAGTTAGATTTTTACCAGAAGTTATAGATTATCTAAATAACTATCTCACACGTCTTATTTGAGAACCAGGATCGGAAAAGTGGGGCTCGAGCCAGTGAAAGCTATTATATTAGAATGAGTCGAATCTAGATCATCCACAAAATATAAGCGTCCAGTTGGAAAAGATGAAATAACATTAAAGAAAAGTAACACTGTCCACTACTTACTTGCCAATGCAGAATGGGAGGGGTATGGAAGCGGTTCGCAGAAGCACAGACCCTATATGGTCACCAAGTCTTCATAAAATCCGAAGAATTGTTATAATAAAGAATGAACCAGTTTTATATTATCTCGGGAGTGATAACGATGAATTTGCTCCAACACATGGGTTTGTACGAGAAGAACTCATATTAATAGATGATCCAAAAAAAGTTAGGCACCACCCCAAAGCATATTATCTGTAAATTTCGTTTGTACTTTTACAGTGCAGGACACCTTAAACCAGCAAGTGTTTATTGGTCTTTAAAAGTTTTCAATTGTATCAAAATTTAATAAATTAAAAAATATTTTCTGTAACTTTATTCTTCTAGTCCTTCTTTATACTTTTACAGAAAAA